GCCGGGGGAGACAGGGAGCAAAGCCCGGGGCCTGTGGTAGAGCAGGTAGGGCGCTGCCGGTTGGTCCCGCAGCACCGCTCCTTGGCGCTACTGGACCAACCTGGCAGCACCCCAGCTGCTCTGCCCCAGGCGTCCCCAAGTCAGCTGCTGCTGAAACTGAGCAGCGGCTGACTACAGGAAGCCCGAGGCAGAGTTGCTCTGCCCCGGCTTCCTGGAATCAGCTGCTGATCAGTTTCAGCAGCAGCTGACTTGGGGATGCCTGGGGTTCTTAAGTTGAATCTGTATGTAAGTCGGAATTGGTGTCCAGATTCAGCCGCTGTTGAAACTGATCAGTTTCAGCAGTGGCTGAATCTGGATGCCAGTTCCGACTTACATACAGATTCAACTTAAGAACAAACCTACAGTCCCTATCTTGTACGTAACCCAGGGACTGCCTGTATATATATTCCCCATGCAAAATAGAGGTTTATCTTTTGGGAAAACTAGTGATAGCAGTTGCCTCACTGAGCTACTCTAGTAGTTGATTCCATAGGCAGGAAATTTACTGTGCATTATTTTCAATGATTTGTTTCTTGTGTTTTATGAAATCGTTATTCTGCCCTTAATTTGAATAATTCAAGTCTTTTTCTGTCTTTTCAGACTATATAATATCCTCATGTTACCTTTCTTAAGGTGTGATGTGATCTATCTGGACAAAATAAATGAGGGCACACCAGTGTTTGAAATGGTCTTATTATATTATCTCTGTTTTAATTCACTTATTTGCCTTTTCAAATGTTGCTATGAACCTGGCAAACATTTCATTTGTTGAATGGCTAATGAAGCTGAAATCCTCTTCCTGCAGGTTATTTATATTAGCCCAATGTTGCCTTCATTTCCACAAGTGTAACTACTTTGGAAGCCAGTGACAGTTACATCCATGGAATTGAGGACAAAATTTGGCCCTTAGCTTTGCCAATGTACATTATATTTATCTAATGTGTTCACACCCATCTGGTATTTCTTATAATTTGATTATTTAATTAATTAAAGAAACTTAATGTCAATCAGCAAACTTCAACTCCCAACGCACTTTCTCTGGATCTTTCATTCAATATAATCAATCCTGGAACCAATATTAACCCCTTAAGTATCCAACTGTTGTATTTTCTTCATTATTATTAATGTTTAATATCATTTTAAGCCCATATCCTTTTCATTTTATTCACATACACCTTTGCTGGTACTACAGTTGTTTCAGCAAGACAACAGAAGAATAGATATTTGAAAAAATACGAATACTTCACTTAGCAATTATCATCAGTGTTCCCTCTAAGGTGCATGGCAGCACAGCCCCACAGCTGTTTAATGAGCCCTGCCCAGCCAGGGGCACAGGACTTGTGCAGTTCTTTGCTGAGGACAGAACAGCGAGTCACGCCTAGCCAGCAGGGATATATCCCCTCCCTACCTGCAGGGTAGGGATCATTAAGCAGCTGTGGGGCTGCACAGTTTAGAGGGAACACTGCTTGTCATCTCAATGAGACTTATTCTGATTTTACAGATGGGGAAATTGAGTCATGGCATGAGCAAGTGACACCCAACAATATAACCCAAGTGTCCTGAGCCCTCTTCAGTGCTGTACACTAGATAACATGACCTCTCAATAGAGATAGAATCTTTTAAGTAGGATGAGCAAGATTTGACTTAGTATAAACCATCTTAGTGTAAAACTCTATGCACTTGGATATAACAAGATCTGATTGCATGCATCTTTATTTCCCAGAAAAAGGTTGAAGATTGAATGCATTTCAAGCCAATGACAGAGGGCCCTATTCAATAATCCATACTTATTTGAGTAGCCTCATTGAAGTCACATGATTGAAGGGTTGCAGGAATTGGTCTATTATCTCTAGTAGCACTAAATAAAATGAAAGATGACATGAGTGAGTAATACTTTTACTGTATTAACTTCTGTTGGTGAAAAACTTTCAAGCTTACATTAAGCTCTTCTTGATATGTCTGTATTCTTGCTTATAAAAAAAATAAGAATAATAAATCAGTTCTATCATTTGTAGAATAGAATTCTGAAATTCTGCCCACTCTTACAGAGTGGATGTTATAATTACACTGATTCTGTTACACCATCCTCTATTTGTTAGATTTTCTCCATGAACTCATGATTATGATAAGCATTTGCATTTTTCATTTTCAGCAATCCTCCTGTGGCTCTTGAAATCATATTGACATGGAATGTGCTCCTGTAGCCCTGCTACTGCAATACCTAAATGGAAAGACACAACGGGATGTGTAGGTCACGGGAATATATCCATGCTGCGGAAGCAGTGAATGAGGAATAATATAGTACAAGGAGGCTTAAAATAAACACACACATACTATTGTGTTTGCTGGTAAAGAAACAATAGTTAAGGTTGAGATGTGGCTTCCATTCTAAATTCCCCTTTCCAGGTGCTCGGTGTTTTCTCAAATTTCATTTGAGATCTCATCTCAAAGGTAAATATATGAGAGAACCTGTCTGATGATCCTACTGTACAGTGGGGTAAGGGGCTCTGGATCTGTCCCCTGTCCACAGTTAAGCACCCAGTCAGAAAATGTAGCTTCAGAATCTGCCTCTCCTCAGAACTACAGCTTCTCAGACAATATGCTGTGGCTGAGGTGTATTTTATCATATTCTGAGATGCTAAATGGGGTTTAATTGTAAAATGGAGAACTGTCACACAAATAATCCTAGTACCATTGAAGCTAGCTCTAAAAATCATGGAACATAACTTTATACCTCTGTTGTTCTGAAGCCATTCTGTTTCTGTGTTACAGTTCCAGAGGCATGGGCCATAGGTTTTGTACACTGAGTACCACAGCTAGTTTTCTTCTCAGTGTTAATTATTCCACTTGCAGTTGAAGACATGGGGATACAGGTCTGAGTTGATTTTTCATCCTCCAGCATACCTAGTAAGAAGAACACACACAATCACAAACTGAACCTTACAACAAGTGTTTACACTAACGACAGATAATCTTTTGCATTATATAACTATTACATAACTTTTAACAAAAGAACACTTGCAGCTTGAAACCTAGTTTATATAAAACAAGGAGTTAAAAGTAGTTTTAAAGAGCAAAGCTGCCTGTGACTCCCTCCTAGTTTTGTGAGTTTTACCTTAACATTTCCCTGTCTTAACATTGCTTCTCCCATCATATGTTTCTGTGGGTCTTTCACACAGTGACAAAGAGGATATGAGCTTACAGGGGCCCTGATCCTATAAGCCACTGACCTTTCTTTCACTTTAGAGTCCTGTTGACTTCATGGGGACAGGAGTTTGGCCATGCAGAGTGACTTACAAGTCTAACTGACTGTACAAGGAAACAAAGATCCTGACCGTACAGAAAGTACTATCAAATTCATAAAAAGGAAGACTTTGGGGAAAAAAAACTAGAAACATCTCTTGGAGTCACCTTGAATCCCTTTTAGTTATAGTAATCTTAGGGGTTACTTATAAAAATGGTAGCTAGAAAATGTTCCAATAAAATATATGTATGTATTTAAGGGTACCCTTAATTTCTGAGGACTTATTGCATAATAATCACAAACACATTTGATCAAAACATTTGCCCATGTGTAGTCAAATTATTAATCAATTTATTTCAGATCAATTGAATGTACTGCAAAGCAAACAGAACAAAATGATACAGGTTGGCTTAAAGGAAACAGTCCATTAACAGAACTAAATGATCATTTATAATAAGCCCACTTCATTAAACTTCTAGTTGCAATTCTGGGTCTCAAATCTGATTTATGGCTCTGGCAAAAGTTATAACAAGGGGCAGGGAGAATAAGGCTAGATATGTCACTTTGGCTACTGTAACTTTCGTTCAAAAATGCTTAACCAATTCTATTTATAAAGAGGCTTGCTTACATGGCAAGAGGAAAAAAATCTTATTTTATGGCTTTACAAATGCTGTGGTCCCTAGTTAGAGAAGTAAGAGTGTGTACACAGATATAAAGGGAAAATAATTGTGAAGAACTATCCATAAAACATTACTATTTGAACTATGCATTGCATCACCAAACCCACTGTTATAAATCCGATATGAATTCAAGTGCAGCATTAAGAATACGACAAATAAGGAGAAGTAGCTCTGTATTCTTGCCCAGAAATCTGCAGGGAATAAACCTGACAGGAAAAGCTGCATCATCAACAGAAAGAATTTTCAGTAGCAGGTTTCCAAAGGAACATAAGAATGGCTATACTGGGTCAACAGTCCATCTAGCCCAGCATCCTGTCTGCCAACAGAGGCCGATGCCAGATGCTCCAGAAGGAAGGAACACAACAGGTAATCCTCACGTGATCCCTCCCCTGTTACTCATTTCCAGATAAACAGAGGCTAGGATATCATTCCTACCCATCCTGGCTAATAGCCATTGATGGACCTAGCCTCCATGAATCTATCTAACTCTTTTTTTAATCCTGTTAAATTCCTAGCCTTCACTGCATAATCTGGCAAGGAGTTCCAAAGGTTGACTGTGTGCTGAATGAAGAAAAACTTCCTTTTGCTTGTTTTTAAACCTGCTGCCTATTAATTTAATTTGGTGAAAGGAAATGACTGTGAGAAGTAAAAGCAACTGAAATAGCAACAGAAGGACAAATCAAAATAGTTGTCCAAGCTGGAAGAAAAAGTCCCACCCACATTTCCAGTCTTTGTGATGAAAGTGGCATAATGCGTGAGAAATGTTAATAAAAATATATTGTATTGCATTTTTCTAAACTGCCAGCAGATGGAACTAGAACTTCCATGTACCAGTTTCTCTGTAGGACTGTCCTCTGAAAAAACAAATCAGAAAAATCCAAATAATCTTGGTTTGTATAAATAAAACATGGAATTGGCTTTTTTAACATTAATATTGCCATTTATGTAAAAAAAAGTTAAAGTCCCTAATGCTTAGAAGTTGTCATTTTCTGTGAGAGGTAAAAATTGGTGTGTCTCTCATTTCTGCATATATCGGTAACAAAGAACTTCAGAGGCAATCCTGGAAATTACAGACAGGTAAGCCTGACTTCAATATAGGGCACATTGATAGAAACAAAAGTAAAGAACAGAATTATCAGACACATAGATTAATATGATTTGTCGGGGACAGTCAACACAGATTTTGTAAAGGGAAGTCATGCCTCTTAGAATTCTTTGAGGGAGTCAACAAGCATGTACATAAGATGCTTAAGCCAGCATACTTGGATTTTGAGAAAATCTTTGACAAGATTCTCATCAAAGGCTCTTATAGAAACTAAGTTCCAATTGGGATAAGAGGGAAGGCCGTCTCATGGATCAAAAACTAGTTGAAAGACAGGAAACAAAAGGTAAGAGGAATAAATGAGTTATTTGGGATTGGTTCTGGTTTGAGCAGAGGGTTGGACTAGATGACCTCTCTTCTAACCCTAATCTTCTATGATTCTATGAAATGGCCAGTTTTATCATTGACTATTCAGAGAAGTTAAGAGTGGGCACCCCCAGGATCAGGAGTAGGAGGACCTGTGCTGTTCAACATATTTGTTAAAGATCTGAAAAAGAGGGTTAAAAATGAAGTGGCAAAGTTTGCAGAAGACACAAAATTATTCAAGATAGTTACGGTAAGTCCAAAGCAGACTGTGAGGCATTACAGAGGGATCTTGGCAAAAATGGCAGAATAAATTAATCACAGATAAATTCAAAGTAATGTACATTGGAAAAAATAATCCCCATTATTTACGACAGGTTCTAAATTAGCTGTTACCACCCAACCAAGAGATCTGTGAGTCACTAGGCTAGTTCTCTGAAAACATACATTCTGGCTACACTGCTGTTGTTTTGTGGAAGAGGCTATCCAAATTGCTCTCTCATCTGCATATCTTTCCATTCTTTTTGCAGAATAAGTTTTTCGCAAGATCCTGTAAACCTCCATTTCTGAGGAACAAGGGATCTTGCAAAAAAGGGTTTTTTTTCCTGACAAATGGCCCTATTTACACAGGGCTTTTTATCATCAAAACCTCTTTTGCAAAAAGAATCGGAAGATAGGCAAATGAGTGTGATTTGCATATTCTCTTCCGCAAAAAACCAGCAGTGTAGCTGTAGAGTCACTATGTAGCAGTGGTAAAAAATGCTAACAGTACTCTACCAACTATTAGGAAAGGGATAGAAAGTAAGACAGAAAATACCCCTAATATAATATCCCTGGTATGCCCGCACCTTGAACTCTGGGTCCAGTTCTGGTTCCTGCCTCTCAAAAAAAATTTAGTGGAATTGGAAAAAAATCATAGAAGGGCAACAAAGATGATAAAGGGTATGGAATAGCTTCAAGGAGAGATTTAAAAGATTAAGGTGATTAATCTTAGTTATTTTTTCTAAGTGGGATATGATCAAAGTCTACAAAATCATGAATGGTTTAGAAAAACTGAATGGAAAAGTGTTATTTACCCTTTCACACAATACAAAAACCTGAAGAAATTCATAGGCAGCAGGTTTATTAAAAATAAGAAGAAATACTTTTTACACAACACCCAATTAACCCGTGGAACTTATTCCCCTGGGATGCTGTGATGGTCAGTATAGATGGGTTGACAAAAGACCCGGCTAAGTTCATCAATGGTTGTTAGTCAAGATCGGGGTGAGCAACAATTTTTACTGGAGGGCCACTCCAAGATTTTGACAAGTGGTCAAGGGACACACTTATGTGGAGGGAGTGTGCAGTGTGGGATAGAGATAGGGGACTGGGATGTAAGAGTGGGTCAGAGGTCTGAGAGGGAGTTTAGGTGAAGGTGGAGGCTGTGATCTGGGGCAGGGGTTTGGGGTGCACAGTCCAGTAGGAGGTATAGGTGCAGGAGAGGCTTTTGCCCTGGGGGAGGGGCTCTAGGAGGGGATGTAAGGTCTGGGAAGGAGTTGTGATGATGGGTGAAGGGGGTGCAGAGGCTTTGGGTGGTAACCTGAGGCAGTGGAATGGGGTGCAGGGTCAGGGAGGGTGTATAAGTGCAGGAGAGGATTCTTTCATGGGGAAGGAGTGTAGGAAGGGATGGAAGGTCGGGGGGGGGTTGTGACACGGCAGAAGTGGAAAAAGGGGTACAGAGGGTTTGAGTGGTAGCCTGGGGCAGTTAGTTGGTAGGGGAAAGAAGGTGAGGTGCCAGAGGCAGGCTCAGTCAGCAGCTCTGCAGCAACCTGAACCTCCCTGCCCGTGTGCTGCTCCACGTGGCTATGTTCCAGCACAGGGAGGAAAGGAGGAAGAGAGGGAATGGGGGTGGGGGAAGGGGCTTCGAAGGGAGAGAGAAGCCTTCTCACATTGCCCTGCTCCCAGAAAAAATTCTCAGCTCTCAGCCAGAAACTAAGAGATTGGCCAATGGGAGCTAAGATATTTTGCTGGGGGGGAGGAACAGCATGTGAGAGTCTCGCCCCTCCCTCTCCAGCCGTCCACAGTGGAGAGCAGCTGGCTTTTTAAAGTGTGAGCCCCTCTCTACCTAAGGATTCCGGCAAGGCAGCTGTAGGCCGGGTCCGGTGGCTTGGTAGGCCAGATTTGACCCGCTGGCAGCCTCTTGTCCACCCCAAGATGGTCAAGGATGCAACTCTATGTTCAGGACAGCCATAAATTCTGGCCCTCAGAAGCCAGGAGTGAGAGACACGGGGGGATCACTCCGTAGTTGCCTGGTTCTGTGCACTCCCTGAGAACATTTGGTATGAGTCACTGTTGGCCTGAAGATACTGGCCAAGATGAACCATGTTCTGGCACAGTGTAGTGCATTGATACTTCCCCTCATCTCCTGCACCATCAGGAAGTCTACTTCAGCAGCTTGCAGTTTAAATCTCTCACCTCCCTGCTGCTCTCCAGACAAAGGTGTACAGCAGAGTAATAGTAATAAGGCTACTCTTTTTTTCTTGGTCCCAGTCACCTGGCATGGGACAGGATTATAAAGAAATCTTGACTACTG